TGGTAGAATTACTAAGTAATATATAGTAAATAATTGGAATTTGTATTTAATTCAGAATCGTATTGTCGATCAAATTTTCTTTTATGGTAATACGACCACATGTATGGTTCCAACTATTTTTTTGGCTGCATAGTACCCTTTCATTATAATGCTTAATAGTATTATAGATAGTTATAATGGGAATGTCCAACTCAGACGAAATAATTCTAAGTTTGGTGTCATTTAAGTAAGCTCCAATAATACATTTGTGCTGTGTGACTGTTAATATTTTTCCCTACATGTTTATTTTTAAAAAGAGCGATCAAGACCTAATTTAGCAAATATAAAAAAATTGAATGCTTATAATAAAAAAGATAGTGACATGTACTTACATAATGCGAAAAAAAAATTTTTTTTTTGTGAAAATCAAATTTTTCAATAAATTATAATAAGAATGTATATTATAATAGTGAAAAAGAGAAGGTAATAAATAAATATATAGGATGAAGTAGAAACTTAAGGTGACAATTAATTAGAAATTTAACATGGTAAATAATTAGAAACTTAGTGTAACAATTAATTAGAAACTTAGTATGGCAATTAATTAAAAACTTAATATGACAATTAATAAAAAATATAAATCTGCAAGATAATAAAAAGAATTAATTAGAAAAAGTAGAGTTAGAGGGAAAAGGAGCATGAAATAAAGACAAACCATTCCTAAATTAAAATATTTCCTTTTAAACTATATGATAGACACTGCCCAAAAAAAAGAAAAGCCAATTAAATCTTATCTGCATCCAGTATTCACTATAAGAGAGAAAAATGCCAGGATCTTCAGGAAATAGGAAAAAGTAAAAAGGTTTTAAGGAAGTATAAGTGATGGAAAAAGAAGGTAAAGAAGAATTAAAAAGAGTATCATTTGGTTAAATCAATAATATATAACTCAAGAAAGCCTTACTATACTTATTGTAAACATAATATGAGCTTGCAACAAAAGCAATAGACTTGTTAAAAATAACTTCAATAGTATGGATTTTGAACAAAATTGTTTTGATTAATACATGCTATTTTTAAAAATTATTAACATATACTATTTTTAAAAGTTGTTGTTATATTTATCATATGTTATTTTTAGATTTTATTGTTGAACTAAGAAATATGTTCATATAACTGAGATTTTTTTTAAAGGGAATAAATTGATTCTAATTTATTTGCTAGTTATATATATGTTAAGGAAATTTTCAACTTTGTTTAGTTAATGGAGAGCTTTGAGATTCTTTTAGTCTTTAAAATAGTGGCAAAATTATCTGATTTATTGAATAAGATCTGGCCTTTTAAAGGTTCTTACAATATCAAGAAAGATATTTAACTTAATACTGGTCTAGTTATAGAGATAATAGCAAGCTTGGCTCCTTGAGATCTGATTGTAAATCAGTTTTCTTACTTTGTATCTTTCTGAATATAGGCAAGTATCTGTTTGTCCTATTTGAGTTGAAAATAAAGAAAAGTTAAGATATATGTTTGTTATATTTTTATAGTTTTATATTTGTACTAGTGTTTGATAATATAAACTGTGAGATTTGTGAGATTTTTTATTAAGTAAAAGTAATTTTAGATTTTTTGGAATATATTTTTTAAAAAAAAATTTGTTGTGAATAGGAAAGCATTTTTAAAAAAATCTTATAAATTATAAAATAATATAATATTATATATTAATAAAAAAATATATAAAAGAATCAATAAATCAATAGTATAGTGGATAGTACTCCTTAATTTCCAAATATATATCCTTAGTTCAATACTTACAAAAGACAAAATATATAAAATTATTCTTTATTTGTGAGTTTATTGATTTTTTTACAAATATTATATTTAAATATTTGAATTCTAATTCAATTTAGCTAAACTATATAAAGATAGGACCTCTGGTCTTTTTGACAATTGCAGATTGAAAACAGATTAAAGCAGGAAAAGTTGCATAAGAAAAAGCTTTTGATCTAGCTTTGATAAAAGCCTACAACTCCCCTAGTATAGCAAACTCCATAACATAAAGAATATTTTAGCTTGGAGCTATCCCAATTTAATACTTGTTTAAAAGAAAAAGATTTAATAAAAAGAGAAATCCGAAGCTACAGGTAATAATAAAGAATATAGTATTTTCTTTAAGATTTTAGGTAAAAAGTATTAAATAAATTATTTGGATATTCTAATTAATCCTAAAAGGTATATACAGTACTTTAAATAACAATTGTCAGAATTTAAATTAGATTAAATAGTTTAAACTAGTGATAGAATTTTCATTCTCTAAAGATTTCATTTAATATATTGATTCACTCTTGTGATAAAAAATTGATATAACTGAGTAAAGCTATAGGTGAAAAAGTGATTAACTTAAATGAACCTTATAATTATATAATTGAATATAAATATTCAATAAAATATTATATGTTACTAGTATTTTTTACTTGAAAATATATAGTATATATAGTATATATATATATAAAGATTTAATTTAAATAAAAAATTCAAAAACTTTACTTAAATATAATTTAAAAATAAATTTGTAATTTTAAAAATTAATATAAAAATATTATTATTAATTTTTTTTTAAAAAAAGATATATAAATATAAAGTTATAAAGAAAAAAATTACTATTAATTTTTTTTATAAAATCAAAAAACAAACAAAACTTTTAAATTTGCTTGATTTATAATTAAATATTTTATTCCTATATAATAATTGATATATACTATATATAAAAAGAAAATCAAATTTCAAAAAAATTTATAAAAATAATTGAATTTTTATACAAATATATTTAACTTTTAAAAAATAAAAAAATTGATTTCAAAAGAAAAATTTCTCAATATATTACAAAAACATTATATACTATATATAGTATATAATATAATTTCTAATATAAACAAAAAATAACAAAAAATAACAAAAAATAAAAATAATAAATAAAAAAAATAATCTAATATCTAATGTACAAATTCTTATAGATAAACAAACTAATTAGTATTTTATACAATTTCTCTTATAGAGTTTATCTTGTATTTTAATATTAATAATACAGCAAAAAAAGCCTTAATATATTAATAAAGATTATAAGAAGTGCCTTACCATTAAAAAAAAAAGGAAAAAAAATAAAAGATTTTACAATAATAATAAAATACATCAATCATCAACTTTATAGATCGAAAGTTTAAAATAATAGACTTACAGGTCATTTATTTTCATTAAATCTTTTACTTTTAGTAAAAGTATTAATAATATTTATATTATAATTATAATTTTACAAAAATTTTATAGAGGTTTTAAATTAAGCACAAACATGTAATGTAAAGAAAAATTTATCTTTTAATACAAAAAGATTGTGAGATTGACCTAGAATACAACTCATTTGAAAATCATGATAATAAAAATAGATCATTAGACTGACAGTCTCATCAATATACAATCGTTGGTGTAATATAGACGTATATTCAAAATTTTTTGTCTTCAACATTTTATTAAAAAATGTTTCAATGAATGATAATTTTATTTGGAATCTAAATTGTTCGTAATTAAATAGATGCGATCATTTTATTTAGATGGTGGTGCGAATCTAAATAAATTAATAAAGGAAATATATTTTAATAAAAATTCGACAGTATTATTTTCAGAAGTAGTAAAACACGTACACAATCTTTCTGGACTTCAGGACTGACCACCTTGAACGTTTTAACCAAATCGACAAAACGGTCATAATTGATAAAATGAATACAGCCTTTAAGCCCATTTTTTTACGATGATCAAATTCAGGTTCCGCTGCCCAAGAAAGGAACGTTGTTACATCCTTAGCCATCTGGGATGTGGTAGCAGGGGTACCTAAGAGCGAATATGTATTATACTTTACGAAAATTGAACAAAGAAATAGAATGCTACAAGGTAATATGGTACCATCTTCATATTCAATCAAGTCGTCAAACAAAGCCCTAGCCATGGAAATCGCACCACCCGGGAAATATGGGTTATAATATAAGCCTTCACGAACTTCAACACCGGGCGGTGGATCGTAATATCCAGTTAGGAGAGAAAATATATAGTCCTAAGTATTTATTAATTATGAACGTATATTTATTCCTGAGATAAACTTATCATGAGAGTTTCATTATATGAACAATACATACAGCACCACCATGACGGGCCTTGGTTATCAATGAGAGATCTGGTGGAAGCGCACCAGCATTGCTTGCACGGGCGGCTTCATCATTTGGATATGGTTTCGGTAAATAATCAGAAAGCTTTCCTGGTCTCTTGAAAAAGTTTCCTTCTTCATCTGGACCATCATCATACTCTATTTCTTCGGCCATTGCTTTCGCTTCATCAACTGTATGTGAAACGCCCACCAAATGACGCCACGCGATACGTTCGAGAGAATGACAAGCAGAACAAACTTCTTTATAAACTTGGAATCCTCGGCGAATGCTTTACGATTTTTTTTTCGAATAAAAGATGGATTAAAGTATTAAAATACAAAAAATCCTGATCATAATGTGACATGTTGATAGGTATGCATGCTAATAAGAATGCTTGACCTTTCATCAGTAATTTCATCTTTCAGCACTAAAGGGCTGCTTTCGGATTTTATCAAACCATCAGATATCAACATAAATCGTTTCTCACCTGGCATGATCAAAGGTACTGAATGGACTACGGTGTTCCCAAGGATACTTTGTCGGATGGAGACCCTCATCGGCCATGTTTGCATGAATTGGATCGGCAAAGATAAAATAGCCAATACCCGCTGTCGTTGCCGCTACAGTAGCCGTTACGGCGATAACCTTTTTATTCTATCAAATATATTTAAAGTTGTAAGGATAGTGGCTACATATCATTTTGGCATTGATTAAATTCACATTGTCCATAATTTTAGATCAATCTTCACTCTCGTTATTTAGTTAAATATCGAAAAGCCGAAACATTCGTTAATATGCTATGTCATAAATCTTTGATACAATTAACAGATTTTTCATTAACTACCTATCCACCGAACATGAAAGTAGACACTTTGGATATACGAACCGAATGAGAAGCACTAGTAGTACCTGAAGCTTTCCGAGACTGTGAAAATGAAATCTATCAAAGTCCGGAAAGTAATAAATAATCATTTAAATAGCATAGGCGTTTCCCAACCTGTGTAAAAGCTTTAATACATTGTTTCAAAGGCCTCTTTGTTGCTTTTCCCGATAATCTTGCAAACATAGCTTCAATGCAAAGGAAATTTTATAACGTTTCGAAAAAGCTGAAGTAAAGCTAAGCCACTTTCACATTGTTATCATCAATTTTTTTTTTTAAATAAACAGCCGTGTAACATTGCCATCTTGATTGCTTTCATCAATTTATGTATATTGACTTGTTTTTCCGTAAAATCAGCTGCAATGTCAGAACAAGGTTCTTCAAATGACGAGAATCAAAACCCAAACACGAGACATCGAAGACAAGAAAATAAAGAACAAAATTTGAATCGATTCCAATTAGAATTGGAGTTTGTTTCATGTTTAGCAAATCCCTGGTATCTTAATAGTTTCGTATCTTATTCTATTTCAGCTTTATAGATCTCTAAATATATGCTATTATCTTATACAGAAATTCATTTAAATTGTTAAACAGATCTGGCGCAGAATGGATACTTTGAAGATCCTGC